CTCTCTCTCTCTCTCTCTGTCTTTCATGAGTAAATAAATAAAATCTTAAAAAAAAAAAAAGCAATGGAAAATTAATGCAATTTCTTTTACCCATTTTCTAATTGGATTTTTTAAATGTTGAGTTTTGGGAGTTGCTTATAAAAGTTAGGTACTAGTCCTTTGTTGGGTTTGTGGTTTGCAAATGTTTTACCCTAGTCTATAGCTTGTTTTTTTCATCCTTTTCAACCTGGAGAGCAAAAGTTTTTAACTTTGATAAAGTCTAATCTATCCACTTTTCCTTTACGGATTATGATTTTGATGTCAAGTCTAAGAATTCTGCCTAACCCTACATTCTGAATATTTTCCTCTATTTTTTCCAATTATTTAAAAATTGCGATAAAATTTACCATTGCAGCCACTGTTTAAGTGTACAATTCAGTGGTATTTATTTATTTATTTATTTTTAAAGATTTTATTTACTTATTTGACAGAGAGAGCACAAGCAGGGGGAGTGGCAGGCAGAGGCAGAGGGAGAAGCAGGCTCCCCGCAGAGCAGAGGGAGCCCGATGTGGGGCTCGATCCTAGGACCTGAGCCGGAGGTAGTCGCTTAACCAACTGAGCCACCCAGGCGCCTCTTTAGTCTGACTGTTCTAAGAGTTCAGGGAACGTAGAGGTCAATAAGTAGTGGCAAAGTTGAGAAGTCTTAACAGATGATGTGTGACATGGGATAAGTTCTGAAAGACAAATAGTTTGGTCAGAAACTGAGGTGAGGGGAATCAAACTGAATGGGTAATTAAATGTAGTTCACAGAGGGGAGTAATCACTTTCAGCTGATAGTGTGGCACAGCTGACTAAGACATGTATCAGTAATGAAGTCTAATTCAGCTATAAAGCAGCTTGTGATTTGGCAAATCATTAATCTCTTAAGAGACTCAATTTCTTCAAATGAAAAACATGGGGAGACGAATGCTAAAGTTCTGCCCAGGTCTAAAGTTGCTTTAGGATACTCAGATTCTTTTACATCAGGTAACTTTTTGAGTGATAAGTTATAATTAGCGAATGACTATATAGTTCACAGGAGTGAACTCAGGAACTATAAAATTACTTACTCCCATGAAAACAGTAATTATTTTAAGTTACAGGGAGCCCCATTACTTTATTTACATTTATATGCATGCTTTTAAAAACCTGTCCATTTGTTTCATGTAAGTGTACTATGATTTTCTCTTCTAATATAGTAAAAAACTAAAACATGAAACAAACTGCACTGAAATCCTGACCTTGTTTCTTCCCTTTGCATATAGAGGATATCACTGAAAAAGGAAAATGGTCTCTTTCCTTTTGAATGTAAAGCCTAACTGTGCCATTTGTAAAGAACTGATTTAATTTGTCAAACAAACCTTTATTTAGTATCTGCTATGGGTCAGGCATTTGTGCCAAGAGTGATGATCATAGCAATGAAAGTGTAGTTCCTACCTTCCATTAGTTCACAACCTAGCAGGGAAAGGAAGGCAGGTCAGTAAACCAGGTATTTTACAGTGTGATACCATGGGAGTGCAAAGATGGATCCTCTGTAATTAATGTCTGCTTTGGCCTGCCCAGCAACCACTCCCCTTTTTTCTAGAATGGTTCCTGATTTTTCTCTGGGAATTACCCTTCCCGTCATTCTCTGTACTTGACTGGAGCTGTAGGCATATGAGTCAAATCTGGCCAATTAGAACATCTATATATTTTGGGACACAGTGATTGGTTTAGGGATCCAAGCCAAGCCAATCTGCTGCAGTTCAAGGGATCTTGGGACACAGCATGGTATATTCAGGGAACAGCAGGTATTTGGCTATGGTTGGCAACTTGGGTCTGAGTGGGTAAGGTTGGGAGATAAAGCTAAAATAATAGGCAAGAACAGTTTATGAAGGGCCTTATATGTTATGCTGGAGAATTTGGACTCTTTCCTTGAAGAGATGTAAAGCCATTAAGGGATTTTAAGCAGGGAGTTCACATGATCACATTTATGCTTTGGGAAGACAAATTTGGTGGGGTTATGAATTATTAGGGGGAAGATGAAGCAGAAAGCAAGGGAATGAATTAAGATGCAAACTAGGGGTAACCAGAGACCTCAACTGTAAGAGTGGTAGTGGGGATAGGAAGGAGAGACACAGTGGGGATGTTTGCCATGAGTTCTCCAGAAAACTCATGCCATGAGTTACCCAGAACTGGGTAACATGATAGCAACACTTTCCTGGAGAAATTGTGCTCTGTCTGCATCTCTAATTCAGCAAATGGTAGTAAATTTCAGAGAACAAAAGCAAAATTTAAGACTGCTTCTCAAAGTTAAACATGCACAAAAATCACCTGGAGATCTTGTTAAAATGCAACTTTTGATTCAGTAGTTCTGGGGTGGGACCTGAGATTCTGCATTTCTTTTTTTATCTCTTTTTAAATTAATTAACATATAATGTATTATTTGTTTCAGGGGTACAGGTCTGTGATTCATTAATCGTTTATAATACCCAGTGCTCATTACAACACATACCCTCCCCAATGTGAGATTCTGCATTTCTAACAAGCTTCCAGATGCTGCTGGTCTGCAGACTATATTTTGAGGAGCAAAGATTTAGGATTTTTTGAGGTGTGATGGGTCATTCAAGTAAAAAGGTCCAGCAGGCAACAGGTGTGGGCCCTAAATTTTAGGAGAGACTTGGGCTGGAGATATTTCAGTCATTAGCACATAGGAGGTGATGATGTCAGAATATATAAAGATAATGGTCTAGGAATGTGCTTGGAAAAAAGTAAAAGAAGCCCAAGGATAGCCCATGGATAGTCAATGCCAGCATTTAAGGGGCATCTGAAGGATGAGGCTTTAAAACATGGAGGCAGCAGGTGAAACTAGGATGCCAAGTTTACAGTGAGAAAGCTTTAATTCCCAAACTTATTATATAAATAATAGCTGCCATTTATTGAGTGTTCTATTCCAGGCAGTGTACTAGGGCTTCAACTTTTCTCCAAAACACAGGATGTAAGAAATGTCTGTTAAAAAATTCCTTTAACCACACCCAATTACTTTGAGCTGGTGGAAAGTTTAATGTGGGTCACTATTAAGGATCTACACACCATACCTAGGATTGTATGAAGGTTCTAGGGGTCTTACTCAATCCAGTTCTTTTGGGAAGGCCTCATCTTCACTCAGGGCTGGTAACTAATATGCTCACTTCCCCAGCTCATTTATCCTTTGATAGTGACTTGCTTTGCTAATTCAATGCCAAGCTTGGACATGGGGTCTTGGCCGTGATTGGAATCTCTGATGCCTAGTGTGCAGCCTCCCTAATGGATACTACAAATCTATTCCCTTGGAAGGTCTTGCCACTTCCCTTACACATTTGGTTCCTGATATTCACAGAACTTTCAATCCTCCTTTTTTGTTACTCCCTTTGGTTGCCACTTAACCAACCTGTAATGTCTCCAGCCTCTCGCCATTGTTCGGAGAGAAAATCACCTCAGTGGGTACAGATGTTTTGACACAAAGGGGCCATTTATTCCGCCCTGGGGCAAGGAAAGTCCCAGATCTTTGGGGTCACCCTCTGGCATTCTACTCCTCTCTACCCCCCCACCCCCCGCATTCTTTTGCAGCCCTGAGAACAAAACAGTATCTTAATATCTCAACAAATCATCTTGACACACGTGCACTGACCCATGAGATCCCTACAACCACTCCATGGGTAATCATTTTACATACTGAAGCTTGGATGAATTCAGAAACTTGTTTCAAGTCACACAGCTATTAAGTAACTGTGTAGGAGCTATGAGCTATGTGCTCTGGACTCCGGAGCAACGAGGGCGTGGTATTATCGCATTCCTATCAAAATACCTTACTCAAGGTCATGTGTGAGTTGCAGTAATCAGACTCAAATTCAGAAACTTCACAAACAGAAGGGGAAAGTCTCTGTGTGGGTGCTCGGATAGAGGGCTGGGATTCCTTTAATCTTCGCCACAGTCTTACTATCCCGATTTTCAGATGAGAAACAGAGGCTGAAGGTGTGACTTACCTATGGCCACAAAGCCAGGACCACGTTTACTGGCTCCTAATATATGTTCTTGCCATCATACCAAACAGAAATGGCCTGTGAGTGGCTCAAAGTCTCGTCCCCAAGAAAACGAAAAGGCAAACACACTTTAATTTAGCTTCCCTCCTTGGGGGAAAATTGGCGCATGCGCAGTATGCACCAGAGACCCCACCCTAGCGGCCCGTGATCCACTGAGTACGCATGCGCCAGGCTCTTCTTCTCACCCGCCCCTTCGCTCCGTGCTGTTCCCTCCACTCCCCGCCCCTTTCCCGCCCGGATATCAGCCTAGTTTTGACGGATGTTGTGAATCCGAGAGACACGTGAGGCGCTGCTACGTCATCACAGGCACGCGAAGGAAACATGGCGGCGGCGGGTGTTGTGAGCGGGAAGGTAAGTAACGGCCCCGGCGAACGTCCCTACTTTTCTCTGGGACGATGTGCTTTTGTTGCTTGGAGGCCGGTCGGGGAGGGACGTGAAGGCCATTCTGTATCAGGAACAGCTTGTGGCGGATGTAAGAGACGAGGACTTGGTCGTGTCAGCTGTTTTCTCGAGATTGCCGGCTCAGTCCGGGAATTAGAAACCGGCTCCTGCTTCAAGGCCAGCTAGGCCTCGGGCGCTGTTCCGCTCTGCACTGCCCCGCAGCAGGGGGCTTTAATTTGTATTACTTTTTCTAAGAGACAGGTAGTTGCCTAGTTCCTTTCTTTTGTGGTTCACTTTTTCCTGACTCTAGTTCTTTAGATCTACTCTTCTGACTCCAGCGTCTTTTTTTTTCTTTTCCTTTGCGGCGTTAATCTAACTTTCCCGTCTTTCTCTGCTTCACTCCGGTGAAGGCATCTTTGCCCCCATGGGGAGGAGCTGAAAACAGGTGTTGTGCAGCTGTGCACTGAGAAGAAAAGAGTGTATTGGATTCATTTTTACCAGACTGCCGAGTTGGCTGGTGCTTGTGAGCAGCAGGGCATGTTTCCACTCAGGGAGCAGGAGATTTACACCATCTCACTCTTGTCTAGGAAGGCGTTAGTTACTGTATTTCTTAGAGGTCTCTATGATGTTCTCGTGGGGAGTATCTGTAATCCTGTCTTAACTCCCTCCTAGTTCGTTAGGAGCTAGAATTAGTGCGGAGGAGATTTCGTTGTATATTGCCTATATGCGTTCCGAGGGCACATCTTAATGCCTGTTATTTAGGACTGTCATGACATGCCACAGGCAGTATTTCCTATTGCGGGAGTATTTCGTAAACAGTTGGGTCTGGTGATGACTCATGGAAAACTAATGACTACGTATTTACTTGTCACCGATAGCTTCCTCTGGTCATCGAGTTTGAGTCATTTTCTCTATGCTGCTCTCCTTATCCCATTTTGAATTATTTGACAACTTTTGTGGTTTGGTGTATGGACCACTAGACTTGGCCGCAGAATAACACATATGGTCTTGGTTTTGCTGTTACTTTGAAGTGTGACCTTGGGAAACTGAGCAAGTGTGACTTTTCTGTCCTTCGTAAATTTTTTCTCCAGAATAGTGGTGGTGCCAATTGTTATTTGTATTGGAGTTGTTGGGATTACGTGAAATAATAAAAACATTAAGAAAGATTTCATACTTCTACATATTGGCTATTTTAAATGATAGATTGGTCATAGTTTTTTTTGATTATTCATGCTCTTTGATTGTCTTGTTAGTTTTTAAGTCTTCATAGCAGATGCTGATTTTCTATTTGACTCATTACATACTTCAAAGTTATCCTGCTTGATTTTCTGTCTGGACCGATTCAATTTAGGTCTTTCCAAGAAGGGATCCTTTCCATTTGAACTCTGCTTCCCTCTTTCAGGCATGGATTGTTTTTGAGAGAATCCTTGAGATGATGAAGCCCAGTGATGAAATATAAGACTTTTTTCACCCTTTCCTTCCAGTCACTCTCTTTCATAATCTGACCTTTTTTTTTTTTAAGATTTTATTTATTTGAGAGAGAGAATGAGCACAAGAAAGGGGAAGGTCAGAGGGAGAAGCAGTTCCGGATGCAGGACTCAATCCCAGGACTCCAGGACCATGACCTGAGCCGAAGGCAGTCGCTCAACCAACTGAGCCACCCAGGCGCCCCATAATCTGACATTTTTATAAAGATTTTATTTATTTATTTATTTTAGAGAGAGATAGCATGAGCGGGGCAGGGGCAGAGGAAGAGAGAGAATCTCAAGCAGACTCCCTGCTGAGCGTGGAGCCCCCACATAGGGCTCAATGCCATGACTCAGAGGTAAGGACCTGAGCTGGAATCAAGAGTTGTGCACTCAGCTGACTGAGCCACCCAGGTGCCCCCATAATCTGATTTCTTAAAATTAGTCTTTTATGTCATAACTGTGCTTCATCATCTCATTTATTCTTACTCATAATTTGACACCCATTACCATCATACCACCTAAATTACGTTTCTGTGCCAAAAGCTCCTCCTCTCCCAAATAATACCATCATGACGAGCAAAACCCAGTTATTCTTCCCTCAGTAAGTTCAGATCTAGTTTAATGGTATCATCATTCAGTGGTTGCATGTAAAACAAACTTGGAGACGTCCATTTCAATAAAAATTTATCAAGAACCAAGTCCTACCAGTTTACCTTAAAGAAGTTTCTTAAATTTCTGCATACTCTTCATTCTCTGTTTTTAGTCCATTTAGTCCACCTCTAGTCTCGAGTTCTTAGCTGATTTTTCTCCTTGTTGCAGTTTCTTTGCCCGCAGTCCCCTCTCTACACCACCACTGGAAGGTTTTTTGTTTTTTGGGTTTTTTTTGGTAATGTACAAATCTGATTGTCTCTTGCTTTAAAAAAACAAAATCTGGGTTGCCTGAGTAGCTTGGTCCATTAAGCATCTGATTCTTAATTTTGGCTCCGGTGGTGATCTCAGGGTCATGACATGGAGCCCTGCATCAGCTCTGCACTCAGCACGCAGTCTGCTTGAGATTCTTTTTTTCCCTCTGCCCCTACCCAGCCTGTGCGCAGGCATGCACACACACGTTTTCTCCTCTCTCTCAAAATAAATAAAATCTTAAAAAAAAATCTTTATTTTGTTACTGTCACCATTAAAATAATACTAAAGGCTGCTTAACATGGTATAAAAAGCCGTGTTCCCTTTCTGGCTTTATCTTATGCTTCCCTCCTTTCCAGTCTTGTTCCTTTGGGAACAAAGGCTTTGTTCTTATATATATATATATAGATGTGAGAGAGTGAGTGTGTATATGTGTATATATGTGTATTTCTTTATCCCCATACCGCTCCCACCCAAAGGCTCAGCTAAGACCTATCTAGCTTAGAAACCTAGGGCAGTGGATATTAATCAAGGCTCACAAGAACCACATGTGGTACTTTTCAAAAATATAGATGCTGGTGGATAGAATCAGTGTTGAGATCTAGGATGTAGAGTAATTTTTCTAACAGTTTTGCTTGCTTTGAACTTTGAGTGTAGGAAGTAATCAAGGAAGTTAATCTCTGTCATATGGAGAAGCAGTGTAAGATAACAGTTAAGAGTTTGGATTCTGGATCCAAACCAGTTTCAAAAAACTAACTTCACACTTACTAGGGACGTCAGTCAAATTACGTAACCTTTCTGTGCTTCAGTCTCCTCGTTTGTAATATGGGGATGATATAGTACCTACTTTATGGGACGGTGAAGAGAATCAATAAGTAAATATATTAGAACAAATCCTAGCACGTGGTAGATGCTGTGTAGGTGTTCGTAATCTCAATTTCTCTGTAAGTCATTGGGTATAGCAGAATTTTAAAGATTTACAATATGGTTTTGGTATGGGTATAAACTTCATTTTTGAAGTTAGCTCTACCTCTAATTCTCATTTTTACTTTAGGAATTGAAAAATACCTTGTTTTAGAAATCATGTAGTTTTGATGAATGAAAAATCATCCCAGTTGGGCAGTGGTTAAGGAGATGGAGCTTGATTGTCTGGGTTCAGACTCTGGCTCCACTGCTTTATGGCTGTATACTTTGGGCAAATTTCTTAACTTCTTGTGCCCAGTGTTCCCATTTGTAAATGAGGAATAATTATATTTCCATCATGGAATTGTAAAGAGGATTAAATGAGTTAATATTTGCAAAGCATTCAGAACAGTGCCTGGTGTCAAGTAAGTGCTCAATAAATGTTAGCTGCTACTATTGTTAAGGAAAATCTTTCAGATTTCTTAAACATTATAAAATTATTATTGGTTAGGAAATAGTTGAGTATTTATTTTTGCTGCCATTTTCCACAAAGATTTAAGCTGCTCACAAATATAAAAGCAATATAGTTATGTAAAATACATTAGAAAAAAAGGTAGAAGGAAAGTAAGGGTAAAAAAAGTAAATGGTACTGGAAGTATATTTATTAAATAAACTGTATGCTTTAGTGGGCCACAGTTTAGCTCTTAAGTTTTTTAGCAGCTAAAGTAAAGAGGGGAACCTGATCCATTATAAGGATGATAGGATCCACAGTCAAAAAAAACCAAAAGCAAAACCCCAAAAAACAAGTTTCTGAAGGGTAGACCAGAGAATAAAGTCTCCTGTAGCTTTTTGTACTATGTAATATAATGTATGTACTTATATGGTGTATTGCATCTTTTTTTTTTTTTTTTTTTTTTTAGAGATTATGTGAGGGAGGAGGATAGTGTGAGAGTCTGTGGGGGGAGGGGCAGAGGGAGAGAGAAACTCAAGCGGACTCTACACTGAATGTGGAGCCTGATGTGGGGCTCCATCCCATGATCCCTGAAATCATGACCTGAGCCGAAACCAAAAGTCGGACACTCAACCGACTGCACCATGAGGTGCCTCTGTATCTTTTTGGTAATAAAAAAGGACCCTGTAATACCTCTAGGATGCTGATAGTTTTATGCCAGTGGGTAGTTCAGTAGTTACTAAATACAGGGTACCAATTTGACATCTTCAGGTCTCTGATGATTTGACTAAATCAAGCGTAGGTTTTTGTCAGCATGCGGATGAATTCAATTTTGCATGAATGTAATTTTTAGCTGAGCTTTTGAAAACAGGTTTGAGTTTGATTAGAAACCCTGATTAGTTCTTAGAGTTCAGCTTTTTTTTTTTTTTAACTGTCTGTCTGTAGAACAATATGTTTTAACGGTCAGCCAAACAGAGAAAGTGACGTTCTCTTGTGAATATTGAGGGGAGAAATAGGGACACTGCCTGTAAAGACCATCTTGTGTCTTCTATAACTGGTGGACAGAATTAATTAATGGAATGAGTTGAATTTACCTATCACAGAAAAGGCAGGAGAAAGGAGATAGCCTGAAATAGGTTTTGGCCTTAGACCCACTGCTCTGATTGTTAGTTTACTTTCATTCATTTATCCAACAAATATTTATTAAGCATCTGATTTGTTCCAAGCACTATATTAGGCATTGGGTGTGTATCAGATAGCCCCTTACATTCTATCTTAAAGACTTAAGTTCTTTAGAGGGAAAATACTCAGTAACACCCACCTCTTTGTCTTGTCTAAATAAGAAATGCAAAATAAATTTCACGTCCTTGAAGTAGGTGCTATTTTTAGTGAATGTTTGTATTCTGAAGACCAGTAAACTGACTCATTATGAGGGCAGGGCCTGAAGTGTTTCACCTGCATCTAGCCAAGATTCTGGCACTTAGTAGGTATTCAGTGATTAGGAATGAGCAAGAAGATAGAGAAAATGAGTGGGGAGAGATGGAATCACTGAGTCCTCTTGTTTTGGAGTTAAAAAGTTCTATTTTAGTACAGTTGGGTTTCACTCTGTTTTTACCCTGATTGTTTTAGAATTTAGTTCTGTTGGAAAAAAACACGAAACAATTGGGAAATCAGCTGTTATTTTTTAAGAGTTTGCTTTGATGGCACTCTTAGTAGCAATTCATGTAACTTGAATTTGGCCCCTTCTAACTTGTAACTTGAAATTGGCCCCTTCTAATTCCCTTTAGATATGCTTATAGTCCTGTAAAACCCTTGTGCGTAAGAAATGGAAAGAATATTCTAGTATCTAGATTTTCCTGGAGAACTTTTCTTTGCCTAGACTGGATCTTATGGTAATACCTTCCTGGTGTAAAATACAATATGTCTTTTTTTTTTTTCCTGGTATTCTTTATTATTTTTTTAAAGATTTTATTTATTTGTTAGAGAGGGAGAGAGTGCACAAGTGGACAGCTGCAGGCAGAGGGAGAAGCAGGCTCCCCACTGAGCAAGGAGCCTGATGCAGGAGTTGCTCCCAGGGCTCTGGGATCATGACCTGAGCCAAAGGCAGACCCTTAACTGACTGAGCCACCCAGGCATCCCTTTTTCTGGCATTCTTTAGCAAACATTTTAGTACCTTTTGTATGTTGAGTTCTTTGGATGCTGAGTGGTTAAACATAGACTTTATTTTTGATACAGTACAGTAGTTTGCACATTTAACAAGTTAGTTTATGAGTTAATAAAAACATGGCTTTTGGGGGGAAAGAATTAAAATGTTAGGTCTTTGATGGGACATAGCTGCTGGGACTAAATGAAAAATAACCCAGCTTTTTTATTTTTACTTTTTGGTGGAAGGAAATCCTTATGAAATCTATTTACTGTCTCTTAATGTGGAATACTGTAATGTATTTGTAGTCCTTGGTATAAGAGAAGTCATTCATTTAGTCCTCATTGTACCTCCCCAGACTGCTAAATTATTCCTGTCCTCCTGTCTGACATCGTTTGGCACACTGTTGCCCTTAAGAAGCAATAATGGTTCTGCTGCCTGCCATTTGAGAATTGTAACATCCTTAATATCTCAACATCTCTATATCTTCACTCCCAGAATTTCTGTGACTTGTTATTCTTAAAACCGTTTATGTGCTACATTTCTTTTGTTCCACAGTCATTACTGATTAACTTGTCCCAAATAAAAACTCACTGTTTACTTTTTTCCTTCTGTATTCCCTATCTCCGTGAATAACCTCATCCACTCAGTTTTGTCCCTGATTTCTCTTCTCTTCCTCTCCCACATCTAATCAGTCATGAAGTCCTTCCTATCATTTCGACCTTCTAATTATATTTCTAAGCCATCTGCCTTTCTTCATCCCCACCGCCACTGCTGTACTTCAAGCCACCATGAATCTCTCCCTCCCTGGATTACTGCAGCTGTTCATTCTTGGCTCTGCAGCCAGTGTGTGTGCTTAGAAAAGGCAAGTCTGACCATGGCATTCCCCTGCTAGAACTTTTTAATGGCTTTCTAGTGGCAAAGAGTTTTCTTCAGGACAAATTCCAAACTCCCAAATT